ATCCTGTTTAATAGATTGTTTACAATACTGTATTTTTGAAGATTCTAGATTGAAATAATTTTTTACACTTTAGGTAAGTCCATGGTGTAATTTGTTGACGTATGCTAAAAGCAAACTCCTAAATTTTAGAAGTGTGCTTTTAGCATACGTCAACAAATTACACCATGGACTTACCTAAAGTGTAAAAAATTATTTCAATCTAGAATCTTCAAAAATACAGTATTGTAAACAATCTATTAAACAGGATTCGTTTTGTATATTGTGGAACTAAAACAAATTAAATTACATTGCATACGTACTTGTTCGACGTTATGAATCTCCATGTACTTAAAACAGAACTATAATACTTTAGCCATATTTAAATTTGGCCCTTGAAAAAAATAAAACCCCTTGAACTGGAAAGCACTATAAATCAACCATAAAAACAGTGAAACACTCAGTGTGACCAGATTTGGTAAAAAGTTTTACTTTTGGTAAAATTTCGTGAATTTTCAAGAAAATTTGGTAATGAGTTTCTTTTGGTAAAATTTTGGTAAAATCTGAAAAGTTTGAATTATTAAAAATATTTGGTAAAAATGTGTGTTTCTTGTTTAAATAACGTGCTCAAAGTGATGAACAGAACTGCCAAGCCTAAGAAATAAAGCCTTATCATTAGCAAAAACTGCAATACGATGAAAGCAACAAGTATTTCGAGACACTTTTTGTGAATATATTTCCTACTTTGATGACGTAACTATTGTTTTTTAGCATTATCATGACGTAATTATTTGGGAAGCCGACTTTGGTAAAATTTTTCTTAATTTAGTAAAATTTGAACAAAATTTTGGTAATGACTGCTGAAAAAGTCTGGTCACACTGGAAACACTTTGCAGTTTGCATGATTATTGTTAAAGAAAAGTTTAAAACCCACGTGACAAAAAAGCGCCAAATTGATGGTAACCCGGATGTAGCATTTACATTGCCCGATCACATGAGACATTGCCCGAAAACATGAGACATTGCCCGAGCCCGATGTCGATGACATGAGACATTGCCCGAAAACATGTGAACCGAAAACATACGGCCCGAAAACATGTGAACCGAAAACATACGGCCCGAAAACATGAGACATTGCCCGAAAACATGAGACATTGCCCGAAAACATGAGACATTGCCCGAAAACATGCGAACCGAAAACATGCGGCCCGAAAACATGTGAACTGAAAACATACGGCCCGATGTCGATGACATGAGACATTGCCCGAAAACATGTGAACCGAAAACATACGGCCCGAAAACATGAGACATTGCCCGAAAACATCTGTCTTCACCAATTTATATTTTTGTCCCATTCTACCCCTCATATGCGGCCATGTTGTTTATGCTTTGGATACCTAGCCCAAGCTAGAGCATTCAAACTGCCATTTTGGTTTTCAGTTGTGCCAAGAACACACCTTTGAAGCAACTCTGTTTGACTAAGATGAACAAGGACCGCTAAGTTCTGAGACGAAGGGGTTAGAGAGATTCTGGGGGGGGGGGTTAACCCCCATAAACCCCGAAGTAAATTCGCCCATGCGAGGGGATGGGGGTTAGTCTAACTAGGGGCAGAGATGCCAGAGAAGCATCTCCCCCATGGCCTATAATTTAATTACAATCAACTTATCCGTAACTGTTTGTTGTTATTAATATTGTGTATATATCAATTAACGGGAAAAAAACAATTCATTCACGCTTGTTATTGCATACAGAGCAAACGTTTTTTCAAAATTGGAGGGAGGGGGGGAGGGGAAGAAGTTACAAAATCTTGAAATTTTAAAGGCGAGAAAATCATAACATTGGGAAACACAGAAAATGCTCTTCTGAGCAAAATTTTTCTGGGGAAGCATGCCCCCGTTGGTTGAGCCCTCTCCAACGCCCCCCTCCCCAATAACAATTTGCTTCTGACGAGACTTGAAGCAAAACATTAGTGTGTAATAAGTCAGGAAAAACGTCCTGCGTCCCTGGTCATAAAATCAACAGCCTGATGCGAGTGCACTTTTTGATTACGTTGTCTTTGGGGGAGGGGATATAACATAACATTCGTCGATTCCAAATCATATTTACTTGATTAGTAAATATATAACTAATTTATTGGTTCCAGGTTATGGAGAAAGTATGATGGTTTGTTCCAACCGACAAAGATACATAACAGGGTGGGCCATGAAAAATTTCTAATGGATGGGCCACCAATTTCTTGGGGGGAAATTTATTTCCCCCTCCGGGCTTCCCTAGCAGCTACTCTATGGCCTGTCCTCACAAAACGATTGGCGTGCCAGTCTACTTCTTCAAAGTCACATAGTAAACGCACTGTAAAACATATTGGTTAAGACACTGAATCAACAAATTGGTTGTTTGTGGACTGTGGTGTTACTTCACACCGGGCAAGCTGAAAAGTAGGGATGAGCCGATTCATTGGTACGGCCGATAAATCGGCCGATATTTGGCGTTTTCAAAATAATCGGTAATCGGCCGATTATTTTTTATAATCGCAATTCGCAATTGTTTCGTTTTACACTCCGTCTTGTTTTTGACACTTTTGTAGTGCGTATTTAATCCCATATCCATTAATTCATTTGACACGTACAGTGACGGATAACTGTCCAATATGAGTAAATATTTTCCGGAACACACTAAAACTAGTACGTCAATTTGTGGCCTATACACAAGTATTAAAAGTTGTCAAAAAACCGTTATCCGGCGCTTGTACCCCGGTACACAGAAATATCGGCCATAGCCGATTAATCGGCCGATTATTTTTTTATATCGGCTCCGATATATCGGATCGGCGAATCGGCTTTTTTCTGGTATCGGCTCATCCCTACTGAAAGTTGCCTGACCACGGTGGGAATCGAATTCGCGACATTTGGGATACTAGTCCAGTTCTCTACCAACTAAGCTGAGCTATGAGGTCAAGTCGGTTCGAGTTGGTGATATTTCGGAACTGAGTCTAGTTCCTTCGATACCAAAGTATTTAACCAATCTGTTTACCAGTGTGACATTTGCTTCACAGTAAAACTTATCCTGCGATCAGGCCTTTATACAACTTTAGTATTTTTGCATAAGTGAACATAACAAATCCTACAAGTCGAATAAATTCAGTCCCAAAAACACAAAAGACTTGCGTAAACAATACTAAAACAATTATTCGCATCAGGCTCGGTGAATATCGGGGAATATTCACCTCGACTTCGTCTCGGTGAATATTCCCCGATAATCACCTCGCCTTCGGCGAATAATTAATAGTTCCTGTTATTTGCTATTTCTAGCTATCGTTTTGATTGGTTAATCCTAATTAGATAATGATATATTTCGTGGTTGTAACTATAATTAGATAAATCATCTTAGATATATCACTTAATTGGTTTACATATCAGTGTTCTATATCTAAAAACAATGTATTTGTGAGACAGCAGGGTTCGGGTAGCAACATATTTGGAAACGTTTTGACATATATACAATAGGTTCGAATTAGTCATAGACAGGTTTGGCATTGAGATATCCTTCGTAAAATTTCAAGTGGATCTCCTTTGAAAATGCTGTTTCTTTCACTGCAGGCTCCTTATGCATCAGGTTGAACCAGTTAGTCAGGTTTGGATGTACGTCAGCAGAAAGAGGATACACTACAGGCAGTCGTTCAAACCAAGGCCACATCATGAAATCCAGCATTCCTACCTCATTACCTGGTGGACAAGAGGATTGCATTCACTTTTCAGGCGGGATTTCCGTGTTAATGGTACAGCAGGTTCAGCAATATATTGCTATATATTTAAATAAATGACCCGTCACCAGTGGCGGACACTTCACCAAATATTAGGGGGCCAGCCTAGACCTAGGCCTTCTATTTTTGATATATTTTTAATATTCAGCGCTTTTTCACATGAAAAGACTGGGACTAGCTGATTTGGGGGCGTGGCGGAGGAAGGACACAAGCCTGACGCAAGCGAAAAAATAGAAGGCCTAGTGGATTTCCCAACAACAAGGCCAAAACTGCCTTGAAACTGCCCTGAAACTGCCCTGAAACTGCCCTGATTGCGAAATGCCCAATTATTGCGTTCTCAAACAGAATTATTTGCAACTTAACAACGAATTTAAACCGATACAGGTAAAATAAACTCATTTATAGTATAAACTTACTATTTTTATTTATATACACGTCTAGAAAATCGGGGTTTTTATCATAAAGTTTGAAGCAACACTATTATTATGTTGACAAGGTGAAGCGAAAGCACAAAATAATAATTCTTTTATTCGCAAGACAATCTACTGTTTTGCTTTCAATAACTATATTTGGGAATGAGGAATTTGAAATTATTGTTCAAATATTACGGATATACCATTTGTAAACAATGTACGTTTTTATATACAGTACTGTACGGGCTAATAATATATGTATCCGTTTTATTTAATAAATTATAATTGTATATGTGTTTGTATATTTTACAAACACAAGACTGCTTCTTGCCAAAATTGAGAAAATATATATTAATGTAGTTGTGTATAAGACAAAATTTCATGAAAGATTCTACTTTTGGTATATATTTTGACTCATTTTGTTCTTTCGCTACACCTTGTCAACATATTAAATAATAGTGTTGCTTCGAACTTTATGATAAAAACCCGATTTTCTAGACGTGTATACAAATAAAAATAGTAAGTTTATACTATAAATGAGTTTATTTTACCTGTATCGGTTTAAATTCGCCGTTAAGTTGCAAGTAATTCTGTTTGAGAACGCAATAATTGGGCATTTTGCAACCAGGGCAGTTTCAGGGCAGTTTTGGCCATGTTGTTGGGAAATCAACTAGGCCTTCTAGTCTTGGTTCCTCCGCCCCGCCCCCAAATCACCTAGTCCCAGTCTTTTCATGTGAAAAAGCGCTGAATATGAAAAAATATAAATAAGACTAGAAGGCCTAGGTCTAGGCTGTAGACAGTCTAGTTACTGTTCATTTGTGTTAATTAAATCACATGCATAGTCAATTATTTACAGTCGGTCAACACAATGTGTAAAATGAGAAGTTTTGAATTGTTTTGAAGAATATATACGTCCGTATTTACAAGAGAGATAAAGAAGGGCAATGTTCGTATCATATAAATTAAGTAATGTTGGCGATGCATTTAAATTTTTACAATGACTGGGCAACAATATATACTAAACAAAACTGGTGCTATATATTACTATAAGTATAAGTATTACATATATATATATATATATATATATATATATATATATATATATATATATATATATATATATATATATATATATATATATATATATATATACAGTATATATATATATATATATATAACCTATATACTGTTTATTTTGTTCTTTCATTACTATTTCAACCAAAATACAGTATTTTCATCTGAAAATTCTAGGGCATTCTATTCTAAAAAATCTGTTTTTCTATCGAAAAGAATGCCTTGAATCTCGGCCTGTTTTGTGTGCTGAGTGTAACTGCAAGGCCAGACGTGGGGATTTAAAAGATGGTATTCGCTTGTCTTTCCATAAGTAAGTCTATAAAACACACATCGTATATTTGTACACTATAACATACTTCATATAAACAGAATAGTACAAGACTATTAAAATAAGACAGCTTTTAATAGCATAAAAACAATTTGTTTTGTAAATACAATAATGACACCAAATGTAGTTTTGAGCTTGTTGCCTACAATATAAAACTGTTTACAGTTTTAGTAAAAGAACATTAGACCAAAAGAACTTCTTGTTTTGATGTCTGTGTTAGGAGTCTATATATATATTATATGCATGTTGACAATAACTTTCATAGAGGTCCTTGCCTGTTGAAGGTCAAAAAAATTGAGTTTTGTTCACATCAGTGAACCAAAAATACATATTTCCCTTCACACTATTTAGATTTCCTATAACCAATCCCAGTCGGCTAAAAAGTTGGATAACAGCAATGAAATGGACAGACTGGATGCCAACCAAATATTCAGTATTCTGTGAGAAACAACTTACACCCAACAACTATATTAACCCATTAAGTCGCATTGTGCCCTGATGTGCCGCCCTACTTTATTATTTTATTTTGTCTAACAGCGTTACGGCAGATGATTTTACTTGTCAAGGGGAGAGTGTT